CTCCCCTCCATGTCTTCTATGATCAATCCACTCTGTTCTACATGCTGGTCTCTTCCTTCCCCCTCTCCATTCATTCCTACACATACACCACACACACTATCACATATCCAATCTTCATGCCTTTGAGTACAAAGGCTGTTCCTCATACCTGGCATTCTCTCTCTCCTCATTCCCGTCTCTTAGCTACCTTGACTTTCTTCAGGATTCAGTTTCTCCAGGAGACCATTCCCAGACATCTCTCCCCTTTTCTCTGATATTCCTTTCTATCCTGTATATATCTCATATATACATAGTTATATATATATGTGTATTGTCTCCCCCATTTGAATGTGAAGTCCCTGAAAGCAGGGATCATGGTTTTTGCCTTTCTCTGCATTCTTAGCACTTAGTGCAATATCTAACAAAATGGAAGTGCTTAATAAATATGTGTTGACCTACTGACAGACTAATAAGCCTTTCCTGGCTTATTGCATACAATTCTCCTTTATATAATTTATGTTCCAGCCAAAGTGGCCTTCTTGCTGTTTCAGTAGACTCTCTCTCCCTCTTTATGTTGTCCCTCATGTCTTGAAAGCATTCTTAACCTCTGTCTGATAGAAACCCTTGCTTCCTTCAAAGATCTCTTCAATTAGAATCCCCTAGAGAAGACCTACCCTGATTCTCCCCACTTGCTAAAACCCTTTTCTCAAATTACTTTGTACCCACTTTGTATTTATTCTCTGTGTACATGAAGCTTTTGCCCAATAGAACTCTCAAGATCCTTGAGAGTTAATTACCACTTCATTTTTTTTTCTTTGTATCCCTATTTCCTAGCATATAATTAGCACTTAATAAGTGCTTGGTGAATGAATAGATGGAGGGATGGATGGTTAATGGATGGATGGCCAAGGTTGCAAAGCAATTCAGTGACAAGAGTAACAATTGTAGCCAAGCATTTTCAAATTTCTGGCACCATATTGTTGAGACAGACTGTTAAAAGGTTCCATCTTTCATTACACTTCATACCTGATACTATCTAATACAATTTGACCATGAAGAATGGTTTTGAAAGTACACTGGTTTCTTTAGATCAAGGGTATATACTCCCTTCTAGGGAACTTTAATCATGTCTATACAATCAAAATAACCCAAATGAAGTATAGTTATTTTGGCCATTTTAAATTACTACATAAAAATTCAGCCATGAAAATGACTTTTTAAAAACCACTCCAAATGGACTATGATGAGTTAATTGATTGAGATGTGGTTCTCAAGTGCAGATATACACAGATGATACTTCACAGTGCTATCAGTTGCCACATTATAGCTTAGAGGTGATAGTGGAGTAGAGAAAATTAACCATGAAATGAGAAGTGAAGGGCAGATATGGAAGATTGCATCTGCACACTCTGGGCTTGTTGGCTTTTCTTCAAAACTTAGGTACCTTCAAGAATGTCTACAAAGTCAGTGAAAAAGCCCCCTGCATCATTTTTCATGTAATTTCTAATCTAGGAAGAAGTTAAAATGCAAATATTGGCTCTAAGTTTTCTATGTCTTTTTACTTTTAAACTAGATACTTATAGAAGGGGACAAAAGACATAGTGTCAGGGGTTTTATTCTCTAATTGTCTAGAACAGTTACATGCTACAGTTAAAAGCTCTCTTCATCTGGTGTTGAACTGTGGAAAATTGACATAAAAAGGGAGATTGCTTACTTAGACACCATGTTACACTTGAAAAAATAATTTTTAAAAAACCTAACTACCATACTAAAAGACAAAACAATCTTCAAATGTGAGTGAAGGTGGGGCTGGCAAGACACTGACACTACCTGTGTGATTTTGGGCAGGTCACTGAGCCTCTGTGGACCTCAGTTTCTTCATCTATAAAATAAGGGGGTTGGATTGGTGGTTGTGAGAACTCTAGCTATAGGTCTAGAATCATAAATATTAGCGCACTTCAGGTTTTTAATATGCTTTAGATTTCAGTAGATAAATTAGAAAGTGTACTGCTCTTTAAAAATTTTTAAATAACATTTTATTTTCCCACAATTACATGTTAAAACAATTTTTAACATTTGATTTTTTAAAAAGTTTGAGTTCCAAATTCTATCCCCTTCCCTACCCCCTCTCTGAGATGGTAAACGATTTGATATAGGTTATACACACAATCATGTAAAACATTACCATATTATTCATTTTGTACAAGACTTGAAGTGTGCTAATTTTTGCACATGAACACATCTGTTTTAAAAACAACAGAAATATGCTGACTTAAATTGATGAATGGCCCATTGAAGGCACCCTGAAGGAGAAATGGATTCTTCTTCACCTACATTTTGGATTCTCTTGGAAGCTCTGAGTATAACTGTAAATAATAAACTAGATAAACTTTCTAAATAAACTAATGTTAGAATTCTACTAAAAATTAGTTTTTAAAAAAATCTATCGACATATAAGAACCTTGTTTTCCAAATGATCTTTACCTAATCTAACACTTCTGGAAATTCTCTTGTGTCTCTGAAAACATTACGCCTAAATCTTTTAATATATACGGATTCTCATCTATAGGTTCTGCCTTATTGATAGGCAGTAGACAAGTCATACTACTCAACGTGGCCTCTACTTGATGGGAAAATTCCCCAGATTTAAGATACATTCCTTTACCTGAATATTGTTCATACCTAAAATTCTATTAGAGATTCAATTCTTTCAGCTTAGGAGTCATCCCATTTTAAACTATTAAATACCTTGGGGAGGAGGAATAGTCAATCAGCATTTATCATATGGTTACCATATGCCTGGCACGATGCTAAGTTCTGAAGGCACAAACAGAGACAAAAAGCAGAACCTGCTCTCAAGGAGCAGGGGTGAACCCAGGTCCTCAATCCTCAACTCTTCCCTGAAGCCTTGATGATGCTGCCAAACGCACACCCCACCAGTTCAGTCAGAACTTCTTCTTTACATTGTTCTAGATAATTTTGTCTCATTCTCTCTTTTACTCCTATCACATTATGTTTGTATCATGTATTCATGTTGTAAAAATTGAGTACAAGCTATTTGGAGTCAAAAACTAACTTACTTTTTCATCTTAGTATCCACTAAATCTAACATACTGCCTTGCACACAGTAGATATTTAATAAATCATTGTTGAATTGAATGAACACATTAATTAATTGTCAGCTATTAACACCTTGACTTGAACTTGGTATATCAGCTTCTTTACTAAGTCATACCTATCTAGCTGAGAGGAAATATATAATAAGTCACAATAAGGTGAATATAGAGAGTGAGACATTCCTAGTCTGGGTATTAGCCAGGGACCATAGGATTTAGAGCCAGAAGAGATCTTAGAATAATTTAGTCTAACACTTTCATTTTACAGATGAGGACACTCAGGCTTAGAGAGGGTAAATGACTTATCTGAAGCAATACAGGAAGCAAATGGCAGAGTCAGGATTCAAACCCATACAGTCTGACTCCATGTCTAAAGTGTCTGGCACATAGTAAGTGCTTAATAGATGCTTTTTGATTTGACTTCCCACTACACGATACTGCCAGGGAAAGTGATGACAGCTAGAGCTCTGAGCAACCAGGCTGAGATATTTAGGAAGTGGGCTCCTGATGGGATATAGGGCACACAGAAAGGAATAAAGGTTATTAAAGGGTTAAGTGGGCAGCACCAAAGTAGCCATTTCACATTTTTTTCCCAGGGCTCACCCTGTTAATTGGATCTATTTTTTCCTAATGTTCCTACTTGATGTTTACTCTTCTAGATACTTGAGATTCAGTTCTTCCTATTACCTCATCTGCACTGCAGCATTTAAATACAAGTAGCAGCAAGAGTAGCCACCACCACCACCTTGCAAAGGCTCAGGAGCTCAAACATTAAGTATAAAATTATGTGTTGTTGGGTATGATTTGCCTATGTGTGCTACCACAGACACTAAAAGAAATCATCTTGTATAGATTATGGATGTGGACAGAAAGCTGATATCAATAGGAAGAAAACCACAAAGAATTCTAAAAGGCACTGAGACTCTCCGATGCTTTCCTTTCCTCTCCTTATTTTTACCTTTTGATCTTGGAAACACCATACTGTTAAGAAACATTGCTATTTGTCTTCCATTGTTTTTCACTGAAACATATCCCATCACTGACAGGCTATCCATTCTCTTCTATCTCATTTGCCAGGACACCCAGCAACACACACACACACACACACACACACACACACACACACACAATCCAGACCCTTTAAGGACTTCCAATTCCTTGATTGCTATTTCATCATATATTTGTTGTCCCATGTGAATTTCCACACGAATTTCCAAAAGCAAGCTATTCCAGAATGCTTCTCTTATAAAACAGGAGAATCCTTGAGCATAAATCAGTTTCTTTTTTGTCTCTTATTTCCCAGAGCAAAGCACTCTATTTTCATCTGAAGATACTGTAATTGTGATCTAAGAAGTAGGCTTTCTACCATTAATAAGTTGACAAAAATGGTCATTGAGGAACAAAGGAATATCCACCTGGGAAAGTCCAACCAATCCTAGCATTCAGAGTTTCTAAACAGCTCTGTTCAATAGTTACAGCATGATATATGTGGGCCTGGAATTCCTTTATGTTCCTGGAAACCTTTAGTCCTTTATATTAAATTTTTTCAAGAAAAATAATTGTACATTTTTGCAAGTAAATGCTATCACAGAAATTGTGTTCAGTGTCAGCTAAGACTCTTTGCCTAGAAGAAAACACCAGCTCAGTCCTCCCCCATAAGAGACTAGGGCATGTGTCTCCCCAGTCACTCCACTGAATTGGAAAGTGGATAATTCTGTTCCTCAGATTAAACTTTTGGATCTTGGCACTGAGTTGATATTCATAGGCTTAATGTCTGCTGTAGCAGGGTGGCAAAATGTTCAGTGGTCCTGTTGTCTTGGAGATAGGCTATTACAATTGGAAATGTATTTATTTGTTAGACCATACATATTGCTATAAAATATAAAAAGGAAAAAAAAACCTTACCCAAATCCAGAAAGTAAGCGACAGAAGAGAAAGAAGCCATAACCTTGGACAAATGACGAAAGGAAGGCAAAGAATCCATTGACAGACATGCAAATCAGAAGAGATTGTCTCCTTCCCACTTTGTCTGCCAATCCGCCCCAGAAGAATGACCCCACCATCATCCCGAGGTACACTATGCTACCTGCAACACACAGAAAACAAGGAAACACAACATGGTTTGAAGGTGTTATTTTGCAAATGTCACGACAAACAGCAATGGACAAAACAGATTTAATATTTCACCCTGGAACATTTCAATCCAAACGGTGGCATTTGGGAGCTTCCTTAACATGCCCAATACTTGATTAAAATAAAAAAGGACATTGACAAATATACTGCTCGGTTTTGCCAATGGCAAGCATAATAACAATAAACTAGATTATTCTTAATAAAAAAAAGAGTCAGCCTACTCATAGAAATATTTATCCAGCATGAATGAACATGTGGACCCAGTTGATCATTATTTTTTTTCAAATCTGGGTTCTACTTTACTAGTTTAGATCATAAGCCAATAATAAAATCATGGCCTCATACATCAGGAGTTTTTTTTCAAAAGTTGCTAGGCCATCAAAAACAAACTAAAAAATGCTCTTTGTTCATAGATTTTTTATAGCACCATTATTTGTAATTGAAAAAAGTGGAAATACCTAGATGTCTAACAATGGCAGGTATGGTTAGATAAGTTTTGGGTATTAATATAATGATCCTAGGTTTTAAGTTGGAAGGGGCCATAGGAATTCATTAGTAAACAAACTATAATACAATTTAGACTGACAAGTATAAGAAATATAAAGAAATCTGGAATGACCTTTATTAAATAATGCAAAAAAAAAATCAGAACCAGAACACAGTGCACACTAATTAGAACCACATAAGAGGAAAAGTGATGGGGAAGGAATGGAAAAAGAAGCCTGAGAGAGACCTATAGAGAGGGGCTGAAAAGCTATTACATTTTAAAATGCAATAACACTGCAATATTTTTTGCATCAAAACTTATTTAAATGTAAGTGATTAAAAACATAAGTGGTTAAAAACATTTGCTATGTTGATGTTTATTTTTGAGTTTATAATACATCATTTATAAAAAGATATTGGAGGAAATATTTCACATTACAAGACATTTCATATCACATGTTCTTTGAGTAATGAAGGCCAGAGACAAGAGAAAATGTAATGAGGTCAGTGTGAAGGACCATATTTATTTAACTTTTTGGGTGTAACTCATCGCAGGAGCAAAGGTTCATTTGAGGAGCACAATGGATGGGGGTGACATACCTGTCAATGTCAGTCAACTTGCCAACAAAGGTGTCTATGGACCTCCTGTTATTCTGAAACCAAAGTCAATGCCTCTCCCTCTCATTTGTGCAGCGTGCAAGAGGGAAGGCAACACCAGAAATGTTTAACACAAAACTGGATTTAGCCCAGTACTCATAGGTATGGGTTTACAATAGGGTGAGCCTTGGGTGGTTGCTTTATTATCAATCAATCAATAAACATTTATTACATCCCTATCACATGCCCAGGCACTGTGCTAAGTGCTGGGAATGCAAAAAGTGGCAAAAGACAGTCCCTGCCTCCAAGGAGCTTACAATCTAACAGGTATTGGTTCTGCAATCCAACCTAGGTACAGGTCATCCTAGGTCTAAAGGTCCCAAGATATACTGGGACTGTTCCAGTTCAGATCTAGGATAGGGTTAGGAGAGCCCTAGACTTGGGATTCACATGCCTACTTCAAAGTGAGGCTGCTGGGTAGTGTAGTGGATAGAGTGCTAGGGTCAAGAAGATCTAAGATGAAATCCTGAATCAGATATTTATTGGCTGTGTGACCCTGGGCAAGTCACTTAACCCTGTCTCAGTTTCCTCATTTATAAAATGAGCTGGAGAAGGAAATGGTGAAACCACTCTAGTATCTCTGACAAGAAGACCCTAAATGGGATCACGAAGAGTTGGACACAACTGAAAAAAATAAATGACTGACAAGTAACAGGATCACAGGGAACGGAGAATACCTATAGGATCCAGGGCTGTCAGCACTGGACATCACAGATTCTTCTGGGTGTGAAGACTTCCATCTCCAGCCTCTAAATCCCAACTGTTGCTTAATCTAAGACATCTCCTGAACAGCATTTTCACTGGCCACCTCCCAGCCCTAGAACTCTCTCCCTCCTCATCTGCCCTCCTAGCTTCTTTGGCTTCCTTCAAATCTCAGCTAATGGCCTATCTTCTGTAAGAAAGGACCATTTTTTGCCTTTCTAAGTGTCAGGGATCCAGCACTTAGCACAGTGCCTAGCATACAGTGGGTACTTAATAAATGCTAGATAGCTGATTAAGATTCTATGCTCCTTAGTCCTACCTTTCAGATATTCTCCTAGCCCAAGGAATCTGTTCTTCATATTTTCTTCTGTAATGAACATTTTCTTATCTTTCCTGATTTTCTCCAACCCTAAACACTTGATTCCAATTTGTTTTTATTGCTCTCTAAATACAAATTCAAGTCAGCAAACATTTATTTATCAGCTTCCTAAGTGCCAGGTATTGTGCTTAGTGCTGGGTGTAAGAATGCAAGCAGAAAGCCAGACAATTCCTTCCCTCTAAGACTTTGCATTCTTATAGGGGCAGAAATATAAAGGGGATAAAAAGGGATGGAAAAACCATTGAATACCCTCTTGGGGAAACTTAGAAGCCTCCTAGTGACAGTAAGTTACCATTATATGGTTTACAAGCCATACACATATCAATTCACAAAATATCATCCATTGTCATGGTCTTACAAAGGAAAAGATTAACAACAAAAAAAATGACTATAATAGGCTCATGGAGACCCTGGTGGCAGCTTCCTGCTCTTAGTTATTTCTTTCTCTTTGTCTTGACGATGTACTAAATAGCAGAAGAAATACTTCCTAAAACTCTCTAGGAAACAAATTTCTAAGCCATAATCAATTGGCTTTATCCCCTGAAGGAGAGTATTCAGGAAGAAAAATTTAATTTGCAATCCACCTTTACAGAGATGCTAAAAAAAGATCCATAATTCCATAAGCATTTTAAACTATCCAGCAAATGTATTTCTCCATTTCTCGTTCAATTCAATTCAGCAAATCAATTTATCTATAAGCATTTATTAAATACTTCAATGCAGTAGGAGTTGTACTAAGCAAACACTAATTAAGCACCTTTGTGTTGGGCACTGGGAATAAAATGACACAGTGTTTGCCTTCAGGGAACTTAAATCTACTGGAGAGAATATGATATGTTCACAGTTTAGTATACTACAAGGTACAGGTATGATGAGGGCACAGGAGAGACTGAGACAGCAATTTAGGAATGAATCATTTGACAAATATTTATTAGTAAATGCTCTGCTCTGTATCAGGGGCTGTTTTACCTAATTTGAATTCAAAGAAAAAGGTGTAAGAGTCCTTGTCTTCAGAGAGCTTGTGTCCTAACAGGAAAATCTGAGGATGTCAATAATTTCTTTCACATATTCTACCTATAGCCATGATGCATAGAACGGTAAGAAATTAGCAGCAGGCTAAGGAATCAGACCATTAGTACTGGGTGTCACATTTTTTTTTCTTATTAAAATTCAAGCTTGCCTATAATTTAATTTATTTTCATGCTCAGTCTCATGCTTTTTCATCATATCTTCATGGCTGTCTGAGTCTCTGGAAAACTCAAGCGTTTCTAAGGTATTTTTTTCCCTCTGGCAAAGGATAACACTGGTCACCCTGGTAACACAGGGAACATAAAATACTTCCCAGGTGCCACCAAGGCCTGGAAAAGAGCTGGAAGATACCTTGTCTTGCTCAGCAGAAGCTAAGAGAACTGTGCGTTCCCATGCTCAGATTAATTCAATGAGCTGCTATAGAGGTCTGGCACGTTCTCAGTCCTCTAGAGAAAAAAAGTTATTGAAAACAGCTCAGTGGCAATGGAGAAAGAAACGAAGCCCCATGCTAAAAGGAGCATGCCTTCCTGCCGTTCCAAAGAGGTAACAATTCCCCTGGCTTTTCTGGTCCATGGACCATGTCAGGGACTAGACTGTATCACTACTTCACTACTTAACTCTTTCCTCACAGAGAGAGACAGAGAGACAGAGAGACAGAGACAGAGAGACAGAGAGACAGAGACAGAGACAGAGAGAGACAGAGACAGAGCAGAGAGGCTTATGAGAAAAACTCTTTCTTATGTGTAATACATGGGAAACAGGAACGAGGGTTCTCAATTGTAAGTTTAATTAGCTTAGTCTAAGTCTACAACTCAACCCCATTTGCCTCATTAAGCACCCTGACCAACTTAAGGGGATTCCTAGTTTCTTCCTGCTACTGATGGTCATATACAGGTCAATAGAGTACTCCCATCAATGGCTTTCTATTCTCCTAAAAGCACATAGAGTATGCCTTCCTAGGCATATTTTGTCCTTCCTAGGACAAAATCCATTGGGATGAACTTCAGCTAAGGCACACAGATACACATAACAGCTAATATTGATGATGGTGATGATGATGACTTTGTTATTGTCCAGAAGAGGAAGAGGATGGAAAAAAGAACAGGAAAAAGGGGGGAAAGAAAGGAAAGTAAGAAGAGAGAAGAACTTAAAAGTAGTTTGTAACCATTCAGAAGAGGAAAAGTATAATTAAAGCTACCAAAAAAAGGCAAACAAGTTCTATGACCTTTTCCTTCCCTGCAAGTCAACTCTTAAAATGAAATTAATGTAAGCACTGCATGGAAAATCTACCACTTTTTTCTTTATCATCATTCAAGTTCTGATATTTTCTTCTTTCTAGTTTGGGATGTTTTAAAGACTAGTTAACAAACTTCTCTACTTAAAAACCAGCAGAACATTTTCTTAGATAATATTTAGAAGCTATAGATTAGGAGCCATTCAGGACAAATCTTCCCATAACTACAAAGTCAAATAAAAACAAGCAAAGTAATAATTTCAAAAGTAAATTTATACAGAAAGAGAATCCAGACAGTCTCCCTCCAGTTTGCATTGGAAAAATGTCACATCAAAAACAACTCACCCTCCCCTGTAGGGTCTTGTGTATATTTAATGAAGCTTCTCACACATTCCTGGATTTTATATTTAGAAACGCTGGTGTTAAATCAAGACCAAAATTTCTCTAGCCATTTATATAGTTGTGC